TGTACTAAGAGACAACTTGGAATAGACAGCCAGTAACAGTGGTGGTGGTGGAGCAAGTCAAGTGTCTCCATTCTTACTCCTTCCTCCCCTCATTTCTTCCCATAAGTAGATGGAGTATAATGGTCTTAAAGCATCGCTGAGGAGAGAAGAGTTAAGGGCCCCTACCTCTCTGCCCCTAGAATGGTAAGCTGTGAGAGAAGGAAGTTTCCACTTGAAAGAGCTTCCGGGGAAGTATATGCTCCAGGAATAGAAGATTGAACTTAGTGTGGGACAGGGAAAGGAGTGTCCTCACAAATTCAGAGGGAAGCAGCTTTTTTTTCATGTTGTGATAACTAATTTCTAAATTAGCAATTGGCAGGTGCTATGGTTTGTGTCTAGTTGTCCCCCCAAAGCCTCATGCAGTCATGGGGCAGACTTCTAGAGCTTGCGATTAACTCATGAGCCACTGGGATTATGGGTGTGAGTGTTACATCCAGCCTGAATGCAATTTAAGGGAGACAGACTTGCTTTCTGAACTACAAAACATCCTGCTCTTCTCAAAGATAAAGAACATTAGGACACTTCCGCCACAGCAACCACTGAAGAACAGTAGACGTGGCCCTCGCTCTCCGTGGCCGTGGGCCTCAACAAGGGCCACGAGGTGACTAAGAATGTGAGCAAATCGAGGCACAGCCGCTGTGGCGGACACCTCACCAAACACACCAACTTCGTGTGGGACATGATCTGGGAGGTGTGCGCCTTCTGCCCCCACAAGCGCCACTCCATGAAGCTACTCAAGGTCTCCAAGGACAAACACGCCCTCAAGTTCATCAAGAAAAAGGTGGGGACACACATTCATGCCAAGAGGAAGCGTGAGGAGCTGAGCAACGTGCGCTGGTCGCCATCAGGAAGGCAGCTGCCAAGGACTAAGCCCCTCTGGAATAAAGCTTCGAAGAAAGTTAAAAAAAAAAAAAATAGAGAACATTAAGATAGTGCAAATTAAACTAGGTCACACAGGCAATAAACTGGGTAACAGAAGGGGCAAGGTGTAGTATCATGGGAGAGCTAGTGACTAGGAATTTAGGGTGAGAGCTGTTGTGTCATCTTGACAGGCTCCCTGTGCAGTTTTTTCTGGGAAGGTCTCTGCAAGTCAGTATAATCCCTTGGATGTGTCATCATTGCCTTCCGTGTATTGTGAGAACACCTAAGCTTGAAGCCTTTTCAGAGTCTGTGCAACAACATGTCATTGTGTTGGAGCTTAGTGAAGGGCTTATGACAGTCACATCGGCTATACCAGCAGGTGTACCAGAGCAATCCACAGTCAGGGAGTCACATTTTTGTGCCGTGAGCGAAGGGTACACAGTAATCTATAAAGTTGGTAGACCATTTCTCAAAAGGTTTTTTAAAATGCATAAAAGAAATAGGATTAGAAAGGAAATAAATTATAATAAAACAATTACAAAAATAGTTTTGAATTTCATGTAGTTATATGTGTTTCTTTTTTTCTTTTCTTTTTTTTTTTTTTTTGTATACCAAGGATTGAACTCAGGACCTTGATCTTGCACTTGCCAGGCCAGGTGCTTGTTCTACTGAGCTATCTCCCCAGCCCAAATGTGTGCCGTTTTAATAAGATCAGACAGCAGCTTTGAAATGGTACTGAGCACAGACTATCAAGATATTGGCTTTAGCCACAATTTCTTTCAGTGCCAGAGTCACAGACACTGTTAATACCATCAAAATTTGTTGTCCACATATATTATTGAAAGAATGCTGCAATTCTGTTAGAAGTAACAGAAAGATGCAATTCAATACCCATTGAAGTTCGTGGACTTCATTGTTCTGTCCACGGGGGTCTAACAGGCCTCCGAGTTGACCTTTAGCACTTCTAAGTGCAACAGAATTCTGGTCAGCTGGATAGGAAGCAGATCAGGCTCAAACTCCAGAAAGTATCTGGCAAGGCATAAATAACCATTATTCCATTCAAGTAGCGATTGCTGCTCTGTACAAAAAAATGTGATGATGTGGTACAATGGCTTATAACTGTGGAAAATCATTTTGATGGAGTGGACACCAATGCTGCAGTGGCAGCGGTCAACACTGAGTGGGAAGGGACATTAGAAAATCAACACCAAAATCTTGGCTATGCAGTTCCAGGCAAGAAATACCTTCTATTAAAGACTATCTTATTACAAGGAAACTTTTTTCTCACCAAAAAGGAGAGGTACTATTACTTAACTATGAATGTATTTCATTCACTTAGCATATGCATATGCTGTTTCATGATGAAAATGTTCAATAATCTCACCCTATGACCATATACCATTTTATACTTTTTTTCCCCAGTACCGGTCTTTGAACTCAGGACCTTACACTTGCCAGCAAGTACTTATTCTGCTGAGCTCTCTCCCTGACCTCTATTTTATACTTTTTTAAAATTAATTTTATTGAGAAATAACAACAAGACAGTTTCAAAAATTTCTTTTCTTTCTTTTTTTTTTTTTTTTTTTTTTTTGTGGTACTGGGGATTGAACTCAGGACAAGCGCTCATTCTACTGAGGTATCTCTCCAGCCCCCATTTTATACTTTTTATTTTATTTATTTATTTATTTTAATTTTTTTTTTTTTTTCTGTACCAGGGATTGAACTCAGAACCCTACACTTGCCAGGCAGGTACTTATTCCACTGAGCTATCTGCCAGGTCCCATTTTATACTTTTTAGAAGTAAATTTGACTCTGTTATCTTGTCTGTGAATCTGAAATAATTGATATGTGTTGACTAGTCATGTACTTTTGTCAGTACTAAAATTGAGACTAAGGAACCCTTACCAGGCTTGGTGGCACACATGTATAATCTAGTGACTCTGGGAGCTGAAATAAGAGAATTGCAAGTTTAAGGCCAGCCTGAGCAATGTAGCAGGGCCCTGTGCTAAAACATAGGGAGGACTGGGATGAAGCTCAGTATGAAGTCCATGGGTTTACTCCCCAGTACTGCTGGGGGTGGGGGAGGGAAGGGGAGGAGAGAGAGAGGCAGACACAGACATAGACATGAGAGGGGGAGGGGAGGGGAGGGAAGAAGCAGAAAAACACTAAGGGGCTCACTATTGTGTCAGCAGGAAAAATTGTTTCTCTCTTTCTCTCCCTTCATTTATCCCAAGATCTACTTGAACTGAGGAACAGTGCCCACCTAAGGCCCCAGCCGCAGCGCTGAACGCAGTTGCTCCCACGCTTCTCCCTCCTCCCATTCCTTCTTTCGGTTCTTCTTTCTTCACACCACCTCCTACCCATTTCCCTCCTACTACTTAGCACCTTCCTATCTTGAGTCCTTGCACAGTGCTCCCTTATCTATTTTTCTGCATCTTCCTGTCTGTCTCTTATAGCGCATGCTTCTCCCTTCCCGAGTCTTACATTTTTCTCTCCCAACTTTGTTGGCTGTGGGGGCAGGGGAAGTGGGTGTTTGTTTGAGACACAGGTTCACTTTGTACTCTGGGACAGCATGAACTTTCTTGTAGCCCAGGCTGGCCCTGAACTCACTATCCTCTGACCTGACCTTGTGTGCCAGGATCACAGAATGTGCCAACTGCACCCAGCTCCACTGTGTCTTGCAATGAGGAAACAAAGACTTTGTGGAACTTTGCCCCAAATCCACTGTCTTCCATTTCTGAAAACAATAACAAAAAAATTTAACAAGAAAAAATGGGCCAGGGATGGAACCCCGGCCCCTGCACATGCTTGCAGGTGCTTTAATCTGCTGAGCTATTTGGCTGGCCCTGCCTCCTATATAAGTTTTAAACAAATGTTAGGCGATGAATATTTAAATTAATCCATATAAAGCCAAAAACACCTAAACGTAAAATTTCTTCATAAAGCCAAAATGCATTTTAATACATAGCAAATTTTATAAGAAAGTGTGCAGGTGTAGAAATAGCAACGGTATATCTACTACTGAATGTCTGAATTAAGTTCATCAATTTAAATGCTAGATATTAAAGGATCCTCTGGGCTAAAGAGGGTTTTTTTTTTCCCCATAACATTAATGCTGAAGCACTGGATTTGAAACCAAGGGCAGTTTACTCCTAGCTCCACATCATGTAACATGACTTCTACAAATTGCTGAATTTCACTGTGCATTCCACAGGAATAAATAAATGAAGAGAGTTAACTATGCTTCAAAAGAAAGATGTTAATAAGATAATTAGGGGTAGAATAAGTCTAATTTTTTCTTTCTTTATTTTGCAGTGCAGAGCACAAAACTCAGGACTTCATACATGCTAGGCAAGTGCTCTACTACTGAGCCTTAATCTCAACCCTAAAATACTTTGCAATATTACTTTTTACCTTTCAATGATACTAATAATGATCATTGCTTTTGTGTTTTGTTTTGAAACAAGGTCTCACCATGTAGTTCAGGCTGGCTTGAAGTCACTATGTAGCCTAGGCTGGCCTTGAACTTGCAATGGTCCCCCCGCTTCAGCCTCCCAAGCGCTGGGATTACAAGTGTGCCCTACTACCCTGGAGTTCTTTAAGACCCCAAGGCCTGTGTCTTTGACGTTTAATGCTGTGCTGTGTCATTCTAGGAGATCCTTAAAAAATAAAACTATCTATGACAGCACAAAGAGCACAGGTGCCAGGCCCCCGAGCAGGGTGGTATCTCTGCTCCCTATAGGTGCTCTCCTGAAAGAATGTTCTGGAGAGTGGCCGGTAGTAGACATTAGTCGTAGGTCATGTATTTTCAGTTTCTCTATCCAAGAAGTAAGTGAAATGAGAAATGTATTTTGAGAACGAATTCCATCCATCTAAAAAGGTTCTGTTTCCTTGATTATTAAGCTGATTGAAGAATTTGGTTTTCTTTAGAATAGCTCATTGCCGGATAAAGGTGATACCATCAAGACTAAGCTCACTTATTTTGGTGATATCAAATGCAAGAATGAGTGAGGGAGTTATTCCCAGAGAAATTGACATCAAAATACCTTTCTTGCTTTTGTACGCTGTCTGTTCTCTTTCCAACGGGGCTGTACCTAAAGCTAAGGAGACATGTGCCAACGTGCCTGTGTCCCTGGAAAGTTCCTCATGTCCTGAGATCTTCCCATGCAGCGGCTCCACAGACCTCTGCCCCACTGCAGACACTGACAGATGACCAAATGCTGATGAAGAGCACAGGTGGGTGAGTTTCTTACCTTTGCCTGTTAGTGTTCTGCTCTTGACTTGGCTCTGCAATGTGAAGTTGTGTGTATGTGTCAGATTAGAAGATAGCTTCCTCCAACTCTGTGAGTGGAGTTTTATTTTGCATGAAATTTATTTGAAAAAGTAGTATGTATCCATTTCAAAAGACAACAACAGCAAATAAAAAGCTAGCTAAAAGTTAAAAATCTATCCTTTTGGTTTTTTGAGATAAGGTCTTGCGAATTCTAGGCTGACATTGAACTCACTGTGTAGCCCAGGCTGGCCTCAAACTCACAGTGATCCTCCTTTCTCAGCCTCCTGCATGTTAGGATTACAGGCATGTGCCACCACACCCAGCCAAATCTCTCTCTCTTCCGTCTCATGGCTCCCCAGTTCTTAGCAGAAGTCCCTTGGTACCATTTTTTTTCTCATTGCCTTGGGGACGGGGTGTATGTTGCTGGCAGCTAGTTGTATAAAAGCCAGCAAGGCTGCTGAACGTCCTCCATGATCCAGGGTGACTCCACAAGATTTACTTCCCCAGAGGTCAAGGTGGACGTGGTGTAAAGATGGAGGAACTGTGTTCTGTGTGACAGTGCAGCTGTTAATAGGCCTTTTTGAGATGGTGTTTGCTGGCATAGAAAGATCATCAAAAAATGGGGCATGGTGACACACACTTACATTCCCAGCATTTGGGAAGATAAGGCAAGAGAATTGCAAGTTCAAGCCCTGAAGACCCTGTCTCCGAATAAAAAGAGTATAAACTGGTGCAGCCAGTGTAGAAATCAGTGTGGAGATTTCTCAAAAAGCTCCCAAGACTAGAGGTGTGGCCCTACTGTGCCCCTTCTTGGCATCTTCCCAGAAGAATTAAAAGGATCATATGATAGCATATATGCAAACCCTTGTTTACAGTAGCACAGTTTGTAATAACTAAATCTTGGAAAGAGCCCAAATACCTGTCAACCAATGAATGGATAAAAATGTGTGTGTGTGTGTGTGTGTGTGTGTGTGTGTGTGTTTAATACAGTGGAGTACTACTTATTCACAGAAGGATAAACTTGAGACATACTAAATAAATGGATGTACCTTGAGACCTGCTCTTAAATAAACTGGATACACATGTGAATACGGCATTGTTTCTCTAGTGTGAGAAGCCAAAAGTATAACTAAGGACCAAAATGTATAATATTGTGAAATAGGAACAAATGTTCAAATGAGAAGGGCAACTAGGGCATGGGAGGGAGAAGGGAAAAGAAATGAGAAAAGGAGAAAAAAATTGGAGATAAAGCTTTTGAAAATAGGGACAGGAGAGGGATTGAAGGGAGGGGAGGGAAATGGGGAAAAGAGGCAACAAGTTATATACAGATACAAATTCCCTATGATGAATGTGAGCGTAAGGTATACCTAAAGTGTAACAATGAACTTAATTTAAAAGAGATTATGCTGGGCATGGTGGTGTACACCATAGTCCAAGCAATAGGAAGGCCAAGACAGGAAGATGCTGTGAGTTCAGTGCCAGCCTGAGCTACATAGTGAGTTCAAGGCCAGCGTGAATTACACAGCAAGACCCAGTCTCAAACAAACAATAGATAGATAGATGGATAGATAGATAGATAGATAGATAGATAGATAGATAGATAGATTTTTTTTTGTATTTTAGGGATGAGTCTACAGGGTGTTCAGGATCTCACTACTAGATCAGACTAGTGACCCGCCTGTATACAGCCTCCCAAGAGCTGGGATTACAGGGGTGGCACGTGCCACCACCCCCAGTCTCACTTGCTGTCTCAACCCACCCCAGGGGCTGGGACAGCATGGCAGGCCTGGGGATCAAACCCCCAGCCCTGCACCTGCTTGTAGGCGCTTTAATCTGCTGAGCTATGGCCGGCCCTTATATCTATGTTTGAATAGATACCTGATGCCAGGCTAGGGATATATCTCAGGAGCATAAGCACCTGCCTGGCAAGTGCAAGGTCCCAGGTTTAATCTCCAGTACAAAAACAACGAAAGATAAATAACTAAGTAAAATAATGTAAGTGCCTATATAGACAGAGATGGTTTTGAAAGAAAAGTTTTCAAAAGTATATAATGTTAGTTACCTTTGGAGACAGGGACTAGAAAACAAGGACAGAAAATGGGCTTTCCCTTTTCTTTCCTCCCTCCTCCCTCTCCCTTCCCCCTCCCCTCCTCCTCCCCCCTTTCTTCTTCTTCTTCTTCTTCTTCTTCTTCTTCTTCTTCTTCTTCTTCTTCTTCTTCTTCTTTTTCCTCTTCCTCTTCTTCCTCTTCTTCCTCTTCTTCCTCTTCTTCCTCTTCTTCCTCTTCTTCCTCTTCTTCCTCTTCTTCTTCTTCTTCTTCTTCTTCTTCTTCTTCTTCTTCTTCTTCTTCTTCTTCTTCTTTTCTTCTTCTTCCTCCTCCTCCTCCTCCTCCTCCTCCT